CTAATGTTAGAAGGGTTTTTTTTTTGATGTATGGACAAATATCTATAAAATAGATAAAAGTAATCTGACTTTCTATTTAAATGAAACCATAACTTTCTATACAAAAGGTGTGGCTCTTCTTAGTGTGACCTGTTCTGTCCCCATTCTTCTGTCTCTGACCTCCTTGCTCCTTCTGTTTCTGTCCTTGGTGAGACACACTGGAAATCTGAAGCTCCATTCCACTGGCCATGGAGACTCCAGCACAGAGGCTCCTAAGCAGGCAATGAAAATGGTCAGGTCTTTTCTCTCCTCTTAATAGTTCATTTGTTTCCCATACAAGTAGGACTGTGAGTATATTCTATATTTTGGACAAAAAGTACATAAAATTTGTCATATTAACATTCAGCATTTTTCACTCAGGCCACTCCTTTCTTCTGATTCTAGGAAACCACAATCTGTGACAGACAGCCTTGTTGGTGCTAGGCTCTCTTAAGGGCCACCTGAAAAGTTCAAATCCTCTAGTTTTATAGATGTACTTTCCGTATTCTTTCTAAGCAAATAACATAATGAGGAGCCCTTTTAGTATTTCTTCTGTTTTTTTTTTTTGTTTGCTTTTCTTTACTACTGGGTTCCTTTACACATTGTTGACTAGAACTGAACTTTTCCATGACTAAGTTGCATTTGATAATTCCCACATGGTCCGTAAAATCACTTTATGAGTAATTATTTTTGTTTAGAGCATGGGCTAGCAGTATTTTAAAACCTCAAATATTATTTCAAAGAGAATCTAAATTATTTAATTTTATGTGCATCTAGATATATTCATATTTAATTGTAACTTCTGGGAAAAAGTCTTATAATTGTTCAGAAAATACTATAAATCATAAAATCGAGTGGGTAGACTATGTATAAGTTGTTTAGAAATTTTAATTTAAAAACTAAAGTGATAGTAAAAAAAAAAACCCTCATAGCTTAAAGCCTTACTTTTTTTTTTTTTTAAAGAAATATTTTTGCTGTCAGGCTTACCAGAGAGACAGAGAAAGATTGAGAGACAGAAAACAAGAAATCACCCCCTTAGGGGAATGGCCACACTGCAATCCCTTCTTTTCCATTCTCCTCTTGGGGTTTTGGGCATGTGCGCACAAGCACCTGGTGTGAGTTTTAAGCCACAGTGTCCGGGATTTGAACAACAGTTGACCACGGTTGACTATATGGGAGTCCAGCAACATAATCATTTGCCATCTGCTAGTCCCAGCCTTACCTTTTTAACAAAATGATGAAGTAGTTTATTCTTGTTATTAGACGTCTTCTTGTTAATAGGGGAATAAGATATTTATGTGAGAATATCAATAATATTTGGAGCACAAAGTAAATTAAGTTTTTTTCTTTAATTTTTTTCAATATTTTTATTATTTACATGTAATCACTGTACATCTTTACAGTCTGTAACATGGTTTTTCCCAGCATGAATACAGTGCATATCAGTCAAGACTAAGACATTACCATATACCTTATCATCAGGAAACAACTTCTCATTTTTTGTCAATTAAGTGTATTGTTTATTTTCTTCCAGTTCCCTTTTTTCCTCCCATTACCCACTCTTTATTACTCTTCCCTTACTATCTCTAATATCTCCAGTTACCCTCCCTGGCATAAACTTTCCAATCTTTCAGTTTCTGCTTTGGAGAGCAGAGATTTGGTGTACATTGAATGGGACATACAAAGCCTGTCTTTCACAGTCTTGCTCGCTTCGCTCAGCATTAAGTCTTCCGTATTTTCCCACTTTGTATCATGTGTCAGGGTCTCATTGTTTTTAATCGCTAAATAGCATTCCACAGAGTATATACGCCAGAAAGTGTAAACACATGATTGTCATGTTAATTATAATTTGAAACCTTAAATTATGAACATTTGAGATGTTCCTAGGTACTTGCTGATTTTGCTAAATTCCAGGACATGCAATATGTGTCTTAGATAGACAAAAGTCAATGTTTCTGCCATATTATGCATTTGAACTAAAAATATACAGAATTATATTTCCTTTTATTTTAAAAAAATTACCAGCAAGTGTGTACACTCGCCAGCGACAGTAAGAGAGAGGGAAGGGGAATAAGAGAGGGAGAAAGCACCCCTCCATGGGACGTGGTTATCATGGTTATCCATAATCCCTTCTCTTCAGTTTCTCTACCCTGGAGAAATTGGGCTGACATACAGAGGCACCTGACAAGTTTACCAAACTACTGGGACCAGGATTCAAATCCGCTTGGCCATGTGGGATTGGACTCCCTTAAACACTAGGCCATGGTGATGGCCCATGACAGTTTGCCTTCTATTCATTTTGTAAGTGGCCTATCATTAATTTAATAGCACATTGATTAGCACCTTAGTTAACACACCTTGTTCTCAGTTTCCTTCTGTCATCCGAGCATTTCATAGTCTTTCTTTTGCTTTCTCTGATCTCTGGTGCTCCTCAGGGCCCTGGGAGCTCATCACCTCTTATGAAATTAAGCATGTACTGATGGCCAAATCTCCACTTGTAGTCCAATTTCCTTTCTAAGCTGCTGTCACAAATACCCAAGTGCCTAACCTCTTTCCACTTGAATGACTTACACCTACTCCCAAATGTTCAAATATGAACTCAGCATCTTCCAACTTTTCTTCTTTAACCTTCCTGTGGCTTCCAAAGCTGCTTTTCTTCTTGTGATTCTTTCAGGTCAGTGGACTCCATGCAAACAGGCTCAAAGGGGAAAGCCTCAAAGTCTTTTTGTATATCTCGTGTACACCAAGCAGCCTTATGCAACCTTTCTCCTAAATCTCATAGTCATGAATTTCTCCCCATTTTCAGACATTAACCTAGGTAAGTCTATCATTTTTCTCTCTAAAATATCATTACATTTCCTCATTTTCCTTTTCTCTGTCTCTCCCTGGCAAGCAGATAGGCCCCTAGTAATAAAACAAAACAAAACAAAACAAAACAGAAAAACAAAAAAAAAATCTACCAATAGATCATTATATATCATCATTCTTGAACTATGTACTCTTTTTGTTTGTTTGTTTTGTTTTGTTTTGTTTTTTGTTGAGAGATTTTCGCTATAGGGCGTGTGCGCTCGCCAGACAGAGAGAGAGAAACATAGAGACAAAAAGCGAGAAATCACCCTCCAGAGGGGATGGTCACGCCGCAATCTCTTCTCCTCCATTCTCCTCTCGGGATCTTGGGCACGCACGCACACGTGCCCGGCGTGAGTTTTAAGCCACCAGGTCCGGGACGTGAACCGCGGTCGACTACGTGGGAGTCCAGCGACATAGCCATTACGCTAACTGCTGGTTCCCTTGAACTATGTACTCTTAAAGTTAATTGCTGAATATAATTAAGGAGAATGAGAGCAATACTGAATGAGTCAAGTTTTTTCAATGACTTCATTAATTTCTTTATTAGATATTGTCTTGTCTAGTTTGCAAAGTGTTTCGAGATATTGTCTTGCAACACTCGAACACTAGTTACTATTAATAGAATATCTATTTGCTAGCACACACAAAAATCAAGACACACGGTCTTTAACTCTGAGTTCATTTCTGATGCATTGGTTTTTGTCAAAATCATTGTTCAAGGAACATAGATCACATATTTTGTGTACTATTTCTTTTAAAATAATTTTCTATCTCTAAAGGACTAAATTGACAGCATTATGTCTCTATTCAAAGCAAATAGAACATATATAAAGGGAAAGAACAAAGCCAGACAACACGCTTAACTTGTTATGCTGGGATACTTGAGGAACATTTAGACTGACTTCACAGTAAATTGTCAGTTACAGAGTACTAAATTCTAAAAAAAGTAGTTTGGGTTTTGGTGTTTTTCTCTTTCTTTTCTTTTTCTTTCTTTCTTTCTTTCTTTCTTTCTTTCTTTCTCTTTCTTTCTCTTTCTTTCTTTCTTTCTTTTTGTATGTGTGCGTGTGTAAATATTGGTTCGATCAGCCTGAATAATGGCTTGTAAATGTTCTCATGAAATGCCAAATACCTTCATGATCCATATCAAACATCACCTATTCTTTTTTCCCTGGTGGGTATTGTGATTTTGTGATTGCCCTTTCTCTGTTTATATCATGCTTTATTCTTAGTTCTGTCTCTCTGTCTCATTTCTTTCTGTTTTTACTGTTTTGGGGATTTTTTTTTTTTTTTACTATAAAGCACAAGGGCTTGTTAGAGAGAGAGAGAGAGAGAGAGAGAGAGAGAGAGAGAGAGAGAGAGATCCACCAGGGATGACCATGCTCAATCCTTTCTCCTCCATTCTCCTCTTGGGATTTCAGGCATGTATCGACATGCATCCATATGCTTTTCAAGCTGCCAGTCCAGGATTTGAACCGTGCAGTAGGCCAGGTGGAATAAAGTGGCCTTAAACACTGCTGGCTGGCCCTGGATTTCTTAATATTTCTTTCTTGGGGTAAGATGTAAAGCATTTACAAAATGTCAAACACATGACAGGCACTCATAGAATGTATTAGTTATGTACTAACTACATTACTAAGATATTTGTAGAGCTTTCTAACTCAAAAAAGACTACAGAAAGATTTGAAGTAGTCAGTATAGTATTTCAAATGAGGAGGAAAGAACACCTGTGAAAAAGAATCTGGCCCATATTTGCATGTTGACATAATTGACTAACTTTAAAATCATAACTATAAGTGGAAAACAGGATTGTACCAATAATAAATGCACACAGAAACTGTTTGCTTAGAATCTAGTAGTTTTATCATCACATAAAAACGTTTGGGTGAAGACATGTGACACTGTACTTTTCAGAAGATTATTCTGGATTAAGATTGGGCTTTAATGAAAGAAGGAAAAAAGATTTCTTTAAGTAGAAATGAACTCTATCCAACAGCAGGAGGTTCTGATCAGGATGGGAATGGCAATAAAAGCAATGAAGATAAGCATCGGAAACGGGTGCTGTTCTGCCACAGATTGATTATAAATTGATCACCAAGACAAAGAATAGACATTTGGATATTTATGCTCTGGAAATGCTCACCGGATGGGATAAGTTCTTTCTGGTTCTGGCAATAGCAGAATTCATCATTGGAATGCTGGGGAATGTGTTCATTGGAGTGGTAAACTGCTCCCAGTGGGTCAAGAACCAAAAGGTCTCCTTGGCTGACTTCATCCTCATCTGCCTGTCTGTCCTCAGAATCTTTGAGCTCTTGGTGTTACTGTGTGACACATTCTTAGTTGGAATGGACCCATATTTATTTGTCATGTACAAGGTAGCAAAACCTGTTGCTCTCCTTTGGAGAATAAGTAACCACTTGGCTACCTGGTTTGCCACCTGCCTAAGCATAGTCTACTTCCTTAAGGTGGCCCGTTTCTCCTACCCTCTTTTCCTCTGGCTGAAGTGGAGAATGAACACAATGGTTTTTGTGCTGCTTCTGCTTTCTTTATTCTTGCTGATTTTTGATATTCTAACACTAGATAGAATTTTTGATGTATGGATAAATATCTATAGAACAGATAAAAGTAATCTGACTTTCTATTTAGATGAAACTATCACGCTCTATATGAAAGACATGGCCTTTCTTGGCATATCCTGTTTTGTCCCCATTGCTCTGTCTCTGACCTCCTTGCTCCTTCTGTTTCTGTCCTTGGTGAGACACACTAGAAATCTGAAGCTCCACTCCACTGGCCATGGAGACTTCAGCACAGAGGCTCATAAGCGGGCAATGAAAATGGTCATGTCTTTTTTCTTCCTTTTGGTAGTTCATTATTTTTCCCTAGAAGTAGGACTGTGGGCATATTCTATATTTTGGGCCAAAAAGTACACAAAGTTTGTCATATTAACATTCAGTGTCTTTCCCATGGGCCACTCCTTTATTCTGATTCTGGGAAACCACAATCTGCGACAGACAGCCTTGGTGGTGCTGGGCCGCCTTAAGGGCCACCTGAAAAGATTCAGTTCTCTAGTTTTGTAGATGGACTTTACAGAGACTTTTCTAAGCAAATAATGTAACGAGGAGCCTTTCAGGATTTCTTTTTTTTCTTTTTTCCTACTCTGTTCGTTTACCAATTGTTAAACATTACTGAACTTTTCTGTACCCATGCTTTTTGATGATAATTCCCACGTGATCAGCAAATGTCATTTTAAGAGTAATCGTGTTTGTTTTAAGCATTGACAAACAGTATTTTAAAATTCCAAATATTTCAAAGAGAATCTAAATCATTATATATAATGCATCCATATGCTTTTCAAGCTGCCAGTCCAGGATTTGAACCGTGCAGTAGGCCAGGTGGAATAAAGTGGCCTTAAACACTGCTGGCTGGCCCTGGATTTCTTAATATTTCTTTCTTGGGGTAAGATGTAAAGCATTTACAAAATGTCAAACACATGACAGGCACTCATAGAATGTATTAGTTATGTACTAACTACATTACTAAGATATTTGTAGAGCTTTCTAACTCAAAAAAGACTACAGAAAGATTTGAAGTAGTCAGTATAGTATTTCAAATGAGGAGGAAAGAACACCTGTGAAAAAGAATCTGGCCCATATTTGCATGTTGACATAATTGACTAACTTTAAAATCATAACTATAAGTGGAAAACAGGATTGTACCAATAATAAATGCACACAGAAACTGTTTGCTTAGAATCTAGTAGTTTTATCATCACATAAAAACGTTTGGGTGAAGACATGTGACACTGTACTTTTCAGAAGATTATTCTGGATTAAGATTGGGCTTTAATGAAAGAAGGAAAAAAGATTTCTTTAAGTAGAAATGAACTCTATCCAACAGCAGGAGGTTCTGATCAGGATGGGAATGGCAATAAAAGCAATGAAGATAAGCATCGGAAACGGGTGCTGTTCTGCCACAGATTGATTATAAATTGATCACCAAGACAAAGAATAGACATTTGGATATTTATGCTCTGGAAATGCTCACCGGATGGGATAAGTTCTTTCTGGTTCTGGCAATAGCAGAATTCATCATTGGAATGCTGGGGAATGTGTTCATTGGAGTGGTAAACTGCTCCCAGTGGGTCAAGAACCAAAAGGTCTCCTTGGCTGACTTCATCCTCATCTGCCTGTCTGTCCTCAGAATCTTTGAGCTCTTGGTGTTACTGTGTGACACATTCTTAGTTGGAATGGACCCATATTTATTTGTCATGTACAAGGTAGCAAAACCTGTTGCTCTCCTTTGGAGAATAAGTAACCACTTGGCTACCTGGTTTGCCACCTGCCTAAGCATAGTCTACTTCCTTAAGGTGGCCCGTTTCTCCTACCCTCTTTTCCTCTGGCTGAAGTGGAGAATGAACACAATGGTTTTTGTGCTGCTTCTGCTTTCTTTATTCTTGCTGATTTTTGATATTCTAACACTAGATAGAATTTTTGATGTATGGATAAATATCTATAGAACAGATAAAAGTAATCTGACTTTCTATTTAGATGAAACTATCACGCTCTATATGAAAGACATGGCCTTTCTTGGCATATCCTGTTTTGTCCCCATTGCTCTGTCTCTGACCTCCTTGCTCCTTCTGTTTCTGTCCTTGGTGAGACACACTAGAAATCTGAAGCTCCACTCCACTGGCCATGGAGACTTCAGCACAGAGGCTCATAAGCGGGCAATGAAAATGGTCATGTCTTTTTTCTTCCTTTTGGTAGTTCATTATTTTTCCCTAGAAGTAGGACTGTGGGCATATTCTATATTTTGGGCCAAAAAGTACACAAAGTTTGTCATATTAACATTCAGTGTCTTTCCCATGGGCCACTCCTTTATTCTGATTCTGGGAAACCACAATCTGCGACAGACAGCCTTGGTGGTGCTGGGCCGCCTTAAGGGCCACCTGAAAAGATTCAGTTCTCTAGTTTTGTAGATGGACTTTACAGAGACTTTTCTAAGCAAATAATGTAACGAGGAGCCTTTCAGGATTTCTTTTTTTTCTTTTTTCCTACTCTGTTCGTTTACCAATTGTTAAACATTACTGAACTTTTCTGTACCCATGCTTTTTGATGATAATTCCCACGTGATCAGCAAATGTCATTTTAAGAGTAATCGTGTTTGTTTTAAGCATTGACAAACAGTATTTTAAAATTCCAAATATTTCAAAGAGAATCTAAATCATTA